TTGTACAACGGATGTGACTGGATGAACTGCTTCGACTGTCGTTCAAATGGCTTACACGATGAAGACACGTTGCTTAGCTTTGGACATTTGAAGTCACCCGTAACAAGAGCGTGGGTGAAATTCAGTGACAAGAAGTAAGAAATTGTTTTCAACAAAGTCTCATTTGATGAATCTTGTGACGAACGAGGGTGATGAACTTCACGGATCAGCCCGATATCACGTTGCGTTAGCTTCAATTTACACCATAACGTATCTAAAGTAGCAAACGGGCACTCAGTTTGCTCTCATTGCAAGCTGTTTTGATAATAGAGCACCACGCCCCCACTTCACGTTGGACGATCACACACTAATAGCTCCATGCCCGGTAATAGCAGCTCGGAGTCTAAAATTTCAGTCATCAACCAGGTTTCGGTTACGGCAATGAGATCCCATCAACCGGTCCGACAACGTAGTTCCACTTCTGGAAACTTACTGAAAATCCCTGATCATTGGTATAGAAACAGTTCAATCGTTGTCGGTGCAGAAATCCCCTGGAGTTTAGGGACGTAATTTAGCCGACCTCGTCATCGGCCGGCAGACGATTTTTGCCGGTGTTTGTTGGATTTGGTCCGATGGGGTCGAAGTGGAATATGAAGTTTGCAGTGTTTCACGTGCAATGTGATTAACAGTCTCGACTGGTGGACCATTTTTTCGGTCCTGAATTCAGCATTGGTCTTAAACGTAATTTTTTGGGCCCTCTGGTTCTGTGTTCATACCATGACTGGAGAACTGTGTTTACTATTTCTGGTGTCCCAAGAGTTACTTTCAGTATTTGCGAGCCATCTCCGCGATAGTTGGGAGAACACGGAAAGCTTTTAATGGCCGTGGTAGAGACGTTGCGGCAGTCTAACAATTGTTGAATGAAGCGCCATTCGTAAAAATCATTTTTTCGACAGTTGGATTCATCGGCTTCGGGGAGCTGTGGCACCCCGTGAATAAGAATCGCCTACGAGTTATCTGCATCGCATGCCCTGATAGGATCGTATCATCGGTGTACACGCTCAGTCCAAGGTCTGTCCGGTAAAATTCTGGTATTGATGGACTCATTTGCAATGAGAAAACTAGAAAGAAGAACATCTTCAAGTATTCTTCACTGGCCAGCGTCACACAAAGTAACCTGGATTCTCCGAGATGCGGTGATATCGGTTGGCGCCAGAGACGTGTGAGGCTCACCGGTTTGGCGTCTACACCCGTTCGGGCACATACCTCTGCCCAGCGACTCAGCTCGTCCTGTTGTCTCTCTCTCAATAATGGACTTGTGGGTTCTGAGAAATTTTTCAAATTACCGTGAGTGCAGTTTTGCCAACTACTCTCTTGTTCATTTGTAACCGTAAAGCAATTTGCAACTGGCGTTTAGGTGGTGGTACTTTGATTACAGGTACCGACCCTTCGACCGTTGATTTCCTCATGGCTATTGGAGAGAAAGCGATGCGTGCTATCTCTTGATTTGTCTTGTTAAAGGCACTTCTCGGACGTTTTGACGGCCTTGGGTTTGGGATTTTGGGGTCGATCTGGGATAGGTGTTCTTTAGACCGCTCAAATAAGCAGATAACTTACGGACAAGTGAGTATGAGGTATCCTGAGCAGCACCATATCAAAAGATATGATCGAACGTTTTCAAGGGTATTGGTGGATAACAACGGATTAGTGTAAGTAAATTTGATTGAATCGATGACCTGTGGAACCTTATGCAGCATCAACAGGATGACAATAAATAAACTTCCAATTATTACAAGTGTGCAGCGAAGGGTTTGTTCTGCCAGTCACCACCAAATAAGTTGAACACAAGACTTTGAAAAGTCTTGCCTGGTAAGTGTTGTAAATCATGTCATTTCTATCAGTTTTTAATTCTTCGTCTCCTGACTTTGGTTGTGCATAGCGGTATCAAAGCACTCAAGTCAATTGTGTGTTTCGAGGCTCGAGTGCTCGACATTTTCTTGATATTATTCAAAAAAAGGGGTTGAAGAGAAACAATGAAAACCATTACAAATAACAGAAGACAAAGACGCCCTGTATTGTGGTGCCTACTTTGATCACACAAAACGTTCTAACACACAATGCATGTTTTACAGGTAAAAAGTTAAAAGTCTCATTGTTTACCGTCGAGAATTCGCTGATTTCAATCAAAACATAGTGCTTCAATCGATCGGACTCCGATATTTATCGCAAAAAAACACAAAACAGTATACGTTAATGGTATTTCTAGGCAGATTTCTAGGGCGATTTCCTGCACCGTGTTTACGCTTTCAATTAGTTTTTGGCCCTCCTTCTGTTATTCACGGTAAAGTTCCTTCAGAGATCAAAAATTTTGGGACTCGCATCGATATGGAAACTCTGCTTTTTCCTCATCTCTCTTATGGTCCATCCAACTATTCCGCTATTAAGTGTCTGGTCTACACCGTTTTAAAAAAATGTTTTCCTCTTCTCCATTCTCATCCCGGACTGTCTCACGCTTGTGCGCGTCCGCATGCGCTTTCATCACTGTCGTCAGTGTATCATGATCTGTTCATTCAATGCAGACGATATGAAACGACGCATGATGAAGTCTGGCGTCGTAATTTATCCTGTCCCATTCTGTTTGAGCTTCCTTCAAACGGACTCATATGTTTTCCTTCTCTATCTGATCTAGTTAGCCCAATTTCGGGACAAGATAGGACAAAGGCTTTCGATTCTTCTGATCCAAGTAACCGGTTTTACACAATGCAGAATCAAACACTGTCTATGCCTTGATTTGAAGACCAACCACTTTTTATTCCTCCCATGAATTCTCATTCACTTAGTGCAATGCACTTGTAAACGGACGCATTTCCTTTTCGTTTTTATTGCCTGCTGTGTCCTTTGCTTTGTACGTTGCATATCTTGTTCTTTTTTCCCCTCGGTTAAATGGGGTCATTTTGTGTTTTCTTTCAAACTTAGTGAACAACTCACATCCCGCCTGTCCTCACACAACTTATTTAAACACACTAGAATTCTACAGGAACGTAATTACTCAGTTATCATGTAAATGACATTGGGTGGCACGAAATCAAATGTCAATGTTTTGTGGACGAGCAGTTCTGATCTGCTTATCACATAGTGGTTTATTGAACCAGACGCAGTTGTCTTGGTTGTCTACTCATTGACCCCATAATTGGCTCAGTTCAAATTAATGGAAGACAGATGACCAGAACAAAATTCTCATGGTCACGGAACCCAAAAGCAAAAGCTATCGATCACAAAAGTAGGAAAAAATTCGAATTCACATATTTCTCATACACATTTAATGAGTATTTTACTCAACAACCTGGTTTATATAGTCAAAAGTTTGTCCATTGTGTAAGGCTTTGCAAGTAGTACTGTGGTGGTACTGTGGTGATGGCGAAACAAATTTGAGCTCGGTCTATTGGCTCACGTGGTGAACCAGAGAACCATTTTGTGGGAGTTCACGTGTACGAAGCTCACACACTCCCCTAACACACATACAGACATGCGAGATGTGTATTTGACCGGGCTAGTTATGTTTCCCACCGCATGTAACAATTGCTGGCTAACATGACCCAGTCACTTCAAAATCATTATTATCAATCAATGACCAGACGTCACATGCAATTAGGCCGTTGCTAATCAAACCAGAGGGCAAACTTTGACGCGGACATACATTTTCAATCACAGGTTTGTCCAAATCTACAAACTTTGTGTAATTTTACCGGGTATTATTAGTTAATAAACGTAGGGTTTTGTCACAAATTTCCATCTGTGGTGGTTTTGGCCTGATCCTTGTTTGCTTCCTTTTTGTCCAATTACTGTAAATAGAGCAACATAGAGCACTACCAAAATAATCGCAACCGATGTTTAACGAGTCGGCTCAACACGAAATGTAGTTTAGAGACTGCTAATCAACACATCCCCATACATACTTGTTTATAGGATGCGAATTTATTCGGGTGTTAGTGAATCCCAGTTAGAAGGGTAATTGCGGTACCGAAAAGGAAAAAACGAATTCCACGAGCATCGACCGAAGGATTGATATTCAGTAACGTCAGTATTACCATGCTGAACTGCACGTTTCGTTTCATTGAACCTGAACGTAAGTTACTTAGTTACTGTTCATGGTTCCACAAACTGATTGTTGTAATGAATCAGAAGAGTGGTTAAATGTGTTGCCACGTCATACATATATAAGTTCACTAAAGTTTACAAACAGTCTCCGAAATGCACATTCGGTCACAGTGAATGTCTGTGGTTTTGTGGTAGTTTCTCGACTGGCTGCAAAGAATGACATTTAATGTAAGCTGGGGAATGGTTTCAAAAAATAAACTCATGCATATCAATGCACATACATGTATACAAACGGTACCTATAGTCTGGAAGAGGGTAGGTTTCATCATGTATGCCAAGACGTATTCTAATACATTTCAGTTGATAAGAGAAAGCGGAAAACACTAGTTTATATAATTGGACAGTACATATGCTACGCACGCATATGACAGGACCAAATGATCATACATTTTACCACTGATAGGGCAGTTAGCGTTTGACTGACAGTTTGTTTTACACAAAAACACAGGCCAGGTATCCATCATATGTTTCCAACCGACCCGGCCAACCTAAGCAGTCAGGGCTGGTCTTACCATAAATGGTCCTAAATCGGGATTGTGAGTCTAGATCATGACGATTCTTCATCAATATATATATATATATATGTATATATATATCGGACAATAAATAAACCAGGTTCTTTTTGTGAGCCATTAATTTCTCACTGCAATCTGATCTGATTTATATCTATGCTGTCCCCATTTTTGTTCACTGATTCTATTGTAGTTTCCATTTTGGAAAATCCCTGCAGAAATGACATGTGTAACTCACGCCAAGTCATCGTCTAGTGTTTTTTCTGGCAAATTATTTTGATGTTCCAACTGAAAATAAAAATTTATGGGACTCAATCAATCTTCGGTTTGGTCTTCACTGCCTTGTAGATCATGGATAGAGTACGCAAAGCTACTGAACATTGCGATGCGCTTCAGGGATTTATTGCCACTCACAGCTGTTCCGGAGGTACCGGCGGTGGTCTCACGGCTTATATATTTCGCGTCCTGGCTTCGGACTACGAAAAGTTTAGTGTTGTGCAGCTACCTGTTTATCCAGCTCCACAACATTCAAACGCCATTGTGGAACCATACAACACTGTTCTTCATTTGGATCAAGCTGTGGATGCAGTAAAACTGTCAACCATGATGGACAATGAAGCGATTGGCGAGGTGTGTCGTCGGGATCTGATGCATAGACAACCGACATTTCACACGATGAATCAAGTGATTGCACTTCTCACTAGTTCATTTATTTCCCCAATTCGATATTCTGGCTGTCTGACCGCCGGCCTGCAGGAAATGGAGACCAATTTAGTTCCATTTCCACGAATTCACTTTCCCGTGCTCCGTCACGCCCCATTCATGCATTGTTCCCATTCGGAGCATCGTATGTCCAATATTGATCAACTGGTCCAGCAAGTGTTTAGCAATACCGGACAAACAGTGAAATGTGATTTGAACCGTGGGAAATTTATGGCATGTGTTCTATCATTTCGAGGTTTGGTCGGTCCGCGTCTCGTCAACAGTGCGCTAAGCCGCATCAAAGTTACTCCCCACTACGAGTATGTTGACTGGTGTCCAACCGGCCTGAAAGTGAACCTGGTCGCCCAGCCACCCGTATTTGTGGCTCAAGATGCACATATTTCGCCAACCGATTGTTCCGTGACCATGCTGGCTAACAGCACCGCAATCAGTTCTGTGTGGGCCTCAGTGGGTGCCAAATTCGACATGATGTTCAGTCGGCGTTGTTTTGTGCATTGGTTTCTTAACGAGGGTTTAGAGGAGGCGGAGCTCAAAGAGGCACGAGAAACATTGGCATCGATTGAACAGGATTATCGGGAAATTTCGTTAATCAGTGACAGAAACTTCAATTTCAAACCCACTCGACCCAATTTGGCAAGTATTCATAGAAGAGGAGGTTGGAGATTTCAAAAGTCAGAAAATTCGAGAGATATCATGTGCTCAATAAGTGATTTATTCAGCGATGAAGTGGTCTCATCGAATAAATCGCCCTATAGGATAACGCAGGCCCATAACTCTCCAGACAGATTTGGTATTCATTCAAAAATATGTGCGGCAAACTAGAAACTGAAATCATTTAAATAGGCCTCATGAAACGCTCGGCCCTTGATAGGATAACAGTGATGGTTTACAAGATTTGTGCCACGTTATGCGGAGTTAAGTTGGGTCAAACATTTTGGTCTGATATACATCTCGATCGAAACCAGTTGCCACATTCTCGGTCCGATCGTGTGATTTGCTTGAACTTCACAGCGCATTGTTTTGTTTCTCCTGAGTTTAGTCTCGGCCAGAGGAAACAAATAAAAAATCTGCATTTCTTGCTTCCTTCTTGTTCCTCAATCCGATTGAGCATCCTGTCTATTTCCTCATACCAAATTCCGACAATGTTATCAGGCGTCATTTGATTCGATATTCGTCCAACTCTTCAAATGGAATCTAGTCCACGGTGATCGGATGTGTGATGTATGTATGTATGTTATAGAAACTATTTTGAACTGGGATTGTTACGACACTTATGAGGAGCCATACAGAGAGCCATCGCTTTTCACAGAAAATGCATACGCGTTACGTTGCGGATGTTTCAAAGAGAGAGGGCATGAACTAAATTTTATTTCACTTAATGAATGTTTCATGATGCATATAAAAAGAGTATCATTTCTGAACTTTTTATTGGTAAATATGAATCGAGGAGGGCAAGACACCAGGATATTTATCTTTTCGGGTAAAGTGGAAGTGATTGATAGTTGTTCGAAACAGACAACCAAGTTTTAGAGTTACAGGCTTGAATTAGCCCATTCGATTGTTAAGAGGCACCAGGCACCCAAGACCATCAAGAGTGCCTGATGCCTCTTAACAATCGAATGGGCTAATCCAAGTTTGCTACTCTAAAGTTGATTGAGTTATTCGCACAAGGTGATGACCATCGACCGTGTTGCTCAAGGGTAAGGGTTTGAAGTCCCAACCCGAACGTTTGCGGTTNTGACGGGGACGCAAAAAGTACGCACTACTGACGAGTCTCAAACAAGACGAAACAGCTACCCAGTGTTCTTTGTTGGGCTGTGAATAAATAGGCGCCAACCAGTCGTCGGTCTTGTTTCCCAAGTAATACAACACTTTTTTGAAGTAATTTGCCTTTGACTGATTGATACGTTTGGCCTGGATGTGGTTCGTCGTCCGGAAAATGCAAGACGTAATTCCTTATCTGACGTTATGTTAAAGGGTTGAATCACCGCAGAATAAACATCACCCGTCACGTTTAGAAATGGGACCAACGAAATTTACCTTGCTTTCCTAATCTCTCTCTCGGTGATTCAGACTTCGGCTTATTCACTCAGATTGTTTTTTATAGAGCCCAATTGTCGTTCAACTCTACATAGCTTTGAAAGCATCGTAAATGTGGTTCCTCCTTGTGAGCAATCACGTGCGATACGTTTTAACTGAATACCCTGGGTAACTAATCAAAGTATTGCAGGTTGTCAATTTTACACTTCAGTTGTTTAGTGTACGAGGGCTGAGCAAAATGTTTCCGGATCTGCAGTACGCGGACGAGGTGCGGATGATCGGGCAAGGAAAACGTGAGCTGTAACCCATTGAAAATATTGTTCAGTGATTGCTACTTATAGAACCAAATATCAACAACCAGGCACAAGTCACGAGTAGTATGTTGCGATAGTGGAGGAGGATGCGCGGATTGCAGTGGCACGTCTGGCGAAAGCCATCGGGATTTCATCGGGATCAATCTGTGCCATCCCATTTGAGAAGCTCGCCATCAGAAGGGTTTGCCACGCTGAGTACTCCATCACCTCAATGAGGAATAGAAACATGTTCGGGTGAGTTGGTCCCACAACATGCCTGCCGGCTCTGATGATGGACGATACAATGCAGTTTAGGAGATTACCAGTGTTTACTGGACTAGATATACAGCTTCGACCCAGAGACCAACTAACAACGGGCTCAGTGGACGTCGCCTCAGAAATTCTTATGCGACTGCGGTCTGTCAGAGGGTGGCTGTGTTTGCAGCTTAAACCGGTCATAAGGCTATTGTACAGCCAAGGGCAGTCACAGAAGACTAGTACTCCACCCGCTGCACGCCGAAAGTGCTGGGAACTGCTGTCAGGCGTCGTCCAAAGACTCTAGCAAGAGGGACCTGGCTGCACTATGACAACGCACATGCCAAGATATTTCATGTCATCGGCGATTTTCTGACCAGAAAACGCATCCAGGAAGTTGGCCACCTATGCTATTTTTCAGACCTGACTCCGTGTGACATTTTTAAGTTCCCAAATGCTAAGGGCCTAATGCGTGGAATCGGATACGAGTCACCAATAGCGGCAGTGGAGGATTTCACTGAACTGGTCGAAGGTTGGCTAGCTTTGGAATGGTTTAGCTGTTCCACCAAACAGTTTGAGCGGTTGGAACTGTGCATGAACGCTGGTGGAGAATACGTTGAGAAAATCAAATACTCATTTTTTTGTAATGAGTAAAATGTTTTTTGCCTCCGGATACTTCTTTCTCAGCTCTTGTTTATAGCATGATACTTCGATAATTGCTTAGCATCCACAGTGCACGAGATAACACTTATTACTGATTAGGATTGCGTGTGTTGGAGTTCACGGAATATTTACCAACTCTCCAATACACAAAAATAGAAACAAACACTTATTTATCGCTTCAGATGTGTTTTTTCGTATAGGGAATTGAAATTATAAATGAATCATGAGCGTTATGCTCCACTCGTTGAAATATATAGTAAATGAGTTAATTTTTGATCTGAAGATTTTGCATCTATTGATTATAACTGAACAGAGTGTTTAAATTGAAACGAAACTTGTTCGTTTGTTTTCTACCGTTGGTTAAAAATAGTCCAAAATGATTTGGTTCCATTTACTTGTATAATTTCATCAATTGTACTGTATTTGGTCGGTTTTCTAATTATAATTCAAGAAAAAGCGGTAATTACTGCACGCATATTCCGGGTGCCGCGGAAACATGAAGGAACCAATTTTGCTTTTTAATACGATTTCATTGCATTTCACAGCTATCCAATCGTTTGGGATTTTATGTACATAGATCACTCCATCTATTATCGAGAAATTTGAAACTTAAACTTTGTAATCAATATCGCGGCGATGTTGGTTGGGCTGTGTGCGTGTGCATGTGGCTTTTTAGCTCAAAATTTGTTTTAGTTGGGATTCGAGTAAATCGGTCAACCGTGACGCGAGTGTATTGAAGTGTTGAATCAAGAAGAAGGGTGTTAGCACTAAGCGGCAATTCGCTGTGTAAAAATGAATTACGTAGCATCATCGGTTTTTCGTCCATAATTATGCACATCGAATGTTCCTGTGTGAATATTATCATTTTTCTGTTCGGGGTTGAACACGTTTCTTTCTCGAGCTATATATGAGAAAATTAACATAGAAATGACTTCTTTGCTATGAACATTATTTGTGTTTGAGGTAAGATAAAATATCATTAGGTTTGTGGTAAATGTTTACCAAAATGTATGCCCTGTTACTTTCATCTGAGATTAAATTTGAAGCCATACCCCGTTGTCTGACCTCGACGCAAAGCGCCTGATACATCTCAGTAAGCTCGCATTAGAATATCGGCGATCGATACAAGTTTTGTGCAGGTATACATTGATGATTTCTACGGTAAGACGATATACAAACTTTTATGTAAAACATTACGTGAACGTATTCAAAAAGAGAAATTAAACTGAAAATAACCAATCTTTTATGATGCAAAATTTAGGGAAGATGGTAGGATCTAAAGTTTAGGAAAAATGATAGATCGTCGCTTTTATTAGGTGGTTTGGAAATCACATCGGTATTGAATTACGGTATACTGGTTTTGGTCCAATGGTCGATTTTTATTGAGTTATTCCGGTGATACTTGCATTCTTACTGCGTCGAAATGCACTCTATCAGATGATTGTTTAGATCTAAAATTAGAGTTGTGCTTCAGACTAGTTCAACTATTCAACTGCGGTTGATGGAGCAACGATTGTCTGGCAAGCCCAAAATAGTGAGTTGCATTTCCTCGGTTTTAAAGCATGAACGATATAGGCATCAATAATGTCGGTAGATAGTTTAGTCGGTTTTATGTCTTTTATTGTCCATGATGGAGACATAATAAACTTTATTTGTATCCCCTTCAAACTAATTATAGGTACCTACAAGTGTATTCTCTACCTATGAACTACAGTTAGGCTTACCGCGATAGATCTGCTCGTTCTCTCCCAATTGATCAACCCAATGTCTATTGTTAAATCTTCCGAAAGGCGAAAGGCTATGGGAAAAGTTCCTTTGAATATTTATTTCTGTAAGTTCTCATGATTGTTGGGACTGTCGTGCTTTACGAGTAAAGAAAACACCCCAGTCGGGAATATGGAAGCATAGTTACGAAATAAACTTTCCCACTGTTATTGTCAAAAAGCCCCAATTTATTGGTCGTTCCCACCAGCACCACAGTTAATTGAGTGAACGCTAAGCCCTTGACAATTGGCCGTGAAACATGGTTGATCCACATACCCGGGGTACACGCACGTCCACCCACATTTTGCTTCACTGAGAAANACTGAGAAAATAACTGTCGCCCTATCAGAGATTGGTATGTTTACTCGTGTGAAAAAAATCTTATCGGTGCTCAAACGTCCGTTCTCACCCTGTTGGAATTTAGTTGTCCTCGGAGAGGCTGAACAAAGCTGAACGAGAGCAGCAAAAATACATCTAATTTTCATGACATTATCAAGCGGAAATAAATTTAGTTCAATTATAGGGAAACTAGTGGACCCCGCCGTCTGCCTTGCGTTTTGATAGCACAATACACTTGTATATCACTGACTGTTCGTAAAAAGAATACTTCCATTTTCAGAGTTTAAGTAGAGGAATAAAAATGATTTATCGATTTCTAACACTCTTTATTCGGTGTCATTTTTTCGGTCATCTGGTTATTCGCAGTCCCCTGAACTCGTCTGAACAAACGTCTTGCTTTGGTTACTTTATGATCTTCATTTGAAGTTCTCATGGCGACACGAAGGCGTCGTTTTTCCTCGTATGTATTCCAAATATTGGTAGATTTTTAAACAATCCACCATACTGAAGGAATACTGATCAGGACATCCTACTGGGTCAAAATTCCAAAAGAGATCTAATATTTTTCGCCTGAGTTGTTGAAGTTTTTGGAGCTCTATTTGAAACAATAAAGAGCAGACAATGAAGATCTAGTTTTCATCGATGTACTCACATATCATTACCTGCTGAATAATTTCTAAATAGCAAGTGGGAAAGTAAATGGTAGACTGCTCAGCTCACAACCTTTTCGCCTGTACATTATCCAGAATAGATTCATCTTATTTTCCATTGACGGAGTTTGTCTTAAATTTAGTTTGTACACATCTGTTATTTCGCCTTGAAAATTAACGAATGAGGAACCAAAAGGCCGGTTTCTGAATTGTATGCACATTTAATCATTTACAGTAACTCATCTCTTCTGTTAATTAGTATCTAACAGTTCTGAGCACGTAAAACGTTTTGAAGCACATGGTTCTCGGTGTAACAAACCTTTTTTCCTGAATGATCTAATGAAATTCTTGTTACTTTCTGCCACACGTGCTCACTACAAAAATCTGGTTGTACCAGCAGCCGAGGGAAACTCCCAAGCACAAACTGCGACCTTTGCAACCTTCTGTAGTTTCCGGAGCATTCATGAATAAATGATCTTGTGGTTAAAGTTCATCTGTCTAACAGCATAAGCAAATATTGTTTACGGTTTCATGGTCACCCCTTTGATGAATGCTGTTTTTTGGGGAAATGAAACTATAACTGGATATAACTCTGCTATAACATACAAACCTGTGTTATTTGATCTAATAAGTTTACATACGGAAAGGTCAACTCTTTCTATAAAACCACTCACCCCGATAATGATTGTGTTTACATGAATATAAATTTTATTTATTTAGTCTTGTTAACTCAAATAAATAAATAGACAAAACTGAAACATGAGTAAGGTTTTGTTTGGAGAAGATACTTGAAGCTTTCATCACGATTAAGATTGGTAACCGATGGAGTGGGAGAAAGATCACTTGATGTTACACGCATCAAGTTTTGGTTGTGTGTATTAAAAACGATAAAACTGACAATATCATCAGAATATTTTAAACGATGTACGGCAAGATTAGCAATTCTCATTAACGTAAGAGGGAAAACGGTGATCGTGTAGTACACCTGAGTTGTTTGGTGATGTAGGTAATTGTTTTATCGAAAACGCAGCATTATCTCTAAGATTCAAAGATTCAAAGATTTATTATGGGAATAACTTACAAGCTCATGCTTTCTCGTCCCATAGGTTCGTGCGGTGGAGTAAGAAACAGTGATACATACAATTCTTTGTGTAAAATGTCACGTGATACGTGCTTTTTCCACTGCTGCACGCAGCTTCACTTATGTTGGAATGTAAGGTGTGCCATTGTTTCATCGAGGCTCATTTTGAAAGATTCAATGCTTGGAGCACAGACAAAGTAGGATGTGAGAGAGTTCCAGGTCGAACACACTCTGACTGCGAATGACTGACGCCGGCATTCCAAGCGGCATTTTGAGACCACTAGTTTAAATAGATGTCCTCTAAGATGAACGTTGGGTGATAATTTCAGAAGCCGGGCGACACGGATGACTCGGGTTTTGCATTATTTGGTATACCATAATTATATCTCCTCTGATGCGGCGGTAATTATTGGAATATAACCCCAGTGATTTTGGGGTGGAGCTCCAAGTAAGACTGGTGTATGTCGTATAGTTGGTTATAAGTTTTGGGTTCATAAAATAAACCAGCAACGAAGGTTACAAAATACAGTGTACATCGGTGATCCTCACAGGAAAACTGATCAGTAGCATCCAATACGGTGGCATATATCTCAAACGTTTGTGGAAATGGCCACTTTATCGGCTGCGAATTAATTTAACTCTCACGGGGCTCAAGCACTCACGGATGGTTTGAGTAAAAGTTTGTGTATGCGTGCAAAGGTGTAACGTAGTACTTTTGCCTGAATTGTTTGGTTTGGTGGATTGTTACTCGAGAATGGGGGTGATGTTTTATCATATGTTGGCATGTACTGGCATTTACCTTCAAAGGGAAAGGTGTCATTGCAACATTGTCAGCAACTCGTTTCTGCACTTTCGTTGAATAACCAAACTCTGAAGTAGTCAAAAGCTTGTCTATATCGGGAGTTGCATAACGATTGGTGGAGGTGTGGGTGAGGAAACGTCTCAGCGCGTAATAAAAGCTAGGCTAGCGTTTGCTAATCTGCGGTATCTCCGGCACCGGCGCGACATATTCTTTTCACGGTAGGTACCATGTTGCCCTACAAATGCTAAACTTGGTCTCTCCAAGCAGGTTATGTCCAAAGACAATCTGTATTCTACAACTGTTGTCTGCGCCATATCGCCCTCGTATGATGGCAGCATCGTGTGAATAACGTTGA